ATGATTTTTTTATTCATTTGAGCTGTTGGAATAATATTGCAATATACAATACGTTGCGAGCGACATTTGATGTATGCGTTCGCGTATAATTAACCCAAGAAAATTCAAAATGGCCGACATATATATATATTCGAAGGTCAAACTTTTCTGGATCCAGTATATATATATATATATATATATATATATATATATATATATATATATATATATATATATATATATATATATATATATATATATATATATATATATATATATATATATATATATATATATATATATATATAGATTGCCTATATCTTAAAATTAAATATCGCAATATTTAATAATGGCGATATTTAATTTTAAGATATAGGCAATCTAATAAGATCTGCTATACTTTTAGTATTGAGCACTTCATATATCTAGACAACCAAAATAAATTGAATTATATATATATATATATATATATATATATATATATATATATATATATATATATATATATATATATATAGTATATATATATATATAGTGTATAATATATATATAGTGTATAATATATATATATATATATATATATATATATATATATATATATATATATATATATATATATATATATATATATATATATATATATATATATAGTGATTTAGTAATTTAGTAAATTCCACTCATTGTAAATATGCACCTGAGGAGCTAACATTAAAGCGAAAACGTTTGTGCAAAATTTGAGTGGCTTTTATTTTATTTTACGTTATAAATGTCTCTTTTGGTTGCACATTGAAACCTTTTCTATATACAACACTTGTATCTTGTTATCAGCAACATTTCACTATATATAAATATATATATATATATATATATATATATATATATATATATATATATATATATATATATATATATATATATATATATATATATATACTTTCTCCAAAGAAAGTAAATGTGCAGACAACATGAAACTTTAGACAGTCACTACAGAAAATTTCACAATCTGTTATCAAACTTATGTCACAGAAGTGGTAAAGGACATATGTGACAACTGAATGGCACCTTTTGTAATTTTTTTTGGCCAGGGGTGGGTATTTATTTTTTAATTGATATTTGAGGTTGGGTAATCAGTTTTTGTACTTTTTAATGGTTGGGTCAGCAAAATTTTTGCCACGAAAAACATTTCTCTTCGGTGCCACCCCCAGCCATAAATAATGACCGGTTCCTAACAATTACAGAAACGTGGAATGATTGCGATAAGAACGTTTCGACACATGAAGATCATCAACAACAGGTAAGCCACTCTAATGAAACCAAACGTTATCTTGAAGTCGATTATAATTTCAAAATATAATTCCATACATTGTCTAACCTTTTAAACGCTCGAAGCAATTTGAGGGGCAGAAAAAGGCTTTAAATAGGAGCATTCTCAGTCAGTAGTCCATTCCACTACATGGTAATACTATTTTAGCTTTTGCTTGGAATACAACTAAAAAGGACGACGTCATTTTAATAATATTAAAGCACTACGAAACAAGAAAACATCTCACGAGATTTTTCTCTGATTTGCTTAATCTCATTCTTACGGAACCTCGCGTCTTCTCCATAGATAGTAAATGCACCCCAGATCCTACTGGATCGGTAATTTTCTATTTCGTGTGTCTGAAAGAGGTTCATTGTTCTTCTTAAAGCTTCACAAACTCTTGTTTCTTGGCAAAGTTCGCCGTAGAATTTTTCCATAAACTCTTTTGTGCCACTATCGTCAATCGGCCATAGTGTAGCAAGAACACAGCGCGCTCCGGCTGCAAGAAAAGCTCGAGTTATACCTATGACACCTTCCGAAGTAATTTCACCTTGCCCGGTATGGCAACAGCATAGAACTACCAAGCGAGCTTGCACAGAAATATTTAGAATATCTCGCTGTGTGAGAAGATATGACTCTGGCATGGGAACAGCCAAACATGGTTGCACCTGGGAAGAGTTTGGCGCAAGCATTATTTCACCTCGATTTGGTTCGCCATGGGCAGCGATATGGATTATACTAGCAACACTTAGATGTTGCAATACTACCTCTTTTCTTGCTTCGCGTCCTAAAAAAGGCCTAGCTTGGAAAAGTTTTGACAAACATTTAACTTCTTCAGCGGCATTAGGCAAGTCAGAGGGTGTAACGTCTTTTCCGTTTAAACAAACTCTTCCAACAGTTGGATTACCAACAAACAACGCAAAACCAAAGTTTGAGTCACAGGATTGTTCCATGGTACACTTCAGGGTATGCAATGAAGGTGTAATTTGAACGCTGTAACTGTTGGATAAATAAGAGCCATTTTCATCAATTAATGCCGAAAACGGTGTAAAAAACAATTGCCGGTCAGGGACGACAATGAGCTTATTGCCGTTAACAAGATCTTTCACCGGATCAACTAAAAGTTTGAACAATCTTTCCAAAATTTCTCGATTACTCAAATCACTATAGCAAGCAGTATTTTCAAATGCATTTTTAGAGAGTGCCTTTCCGTTCGGCATTTCAAATGGAAAAATCATTTGATTGTGAGTATCAACAACTGAATCGGAGTTGCAAAACGAAGAATTCCGAGCAACACTAACATTTTCCCTCCCAAGAAGTTCCATAATTAGAAACTGAAATGTTTCCAAACATGCATCCAATTTTCGAAAGATAACTTCATCATTTAAAACCCAAACATTAAGAAAAGCTTCCAAATCAAAAGCAAATACTAATACTGAGGTATCATTTTCTCCTAGATGGAGAAATGTTTTCATTTCTTCGATTTCTCTTCGTTCTTCCCTGGACCCGATTCTATTCCATATCACACGTGCATAATCGAACATGTCCTTGCCAACAGAATTCTTCTGTTTTTCAACACAGCAATGGAGCTCCTTAGCCCTACCAAGGTCAATGACTAATAATGCGGATTCAATGCGTTCCAAAGAAAGGAAACAACACATCAAACGTTTATGAGATACGAAATATTGTATCGTGAATGACAGCTTATTTTGATCCGGAACGAAATCCAAAAACATTCTATCGTACAAACTAATTGACTTCACTAAGAGTGGTGTTCCAACTTCATACTCTCCAAGACATCGATGCGCATTTCCTAAATTGCTGAGGTTAATTGCTCTTCCTGACCGATCGCCAATAGCAGTGCTTATTTCTAAACCTGTTTTGTAATGGTCAATGGCTTTCTGATATTCTCCTAAATCAAGATAGGCATTGCCCAAATTGCCATTCTTACTTGCTATTCCTGACCGATCGCCAATAGCAGTGCTTATTTCTAAACCTGTTTTGTAATGGTCAATGGCTTTCTGATATTCTCCTAAACGTCGATAGACATTGCCCAAATTGCCATTGTTACTTGCTATTCCTGACCGATCTCCAATAGCAGTGTTTATTTCTAAACCTGTTTTGTAATGGTCAATGGCTTTCTGATATTCTCCTAAACTAAGATAGGCATCGCCCAAATTGCCATTCTTACGTGCTATTCCCGACCGATCGCCAATAGCAGTGCTTATTTCTAAACCTGTTTTGCAATGGTCAATGGCTTTCTGATATTCTCCTAAACGTCGATAGGCATTGCCCAAATTGCCATTGTTACTTGCTATTCCTGACCGATCGCCAATAGCAGTGCTTATTTCTAAACCTGTTTTGTAATGGTCAATGGCTTTCTGGTATTCTCCTAAACATCGATAGGCATTGCCCAAATTGCCATTGTTACTTGCTATTCCTGACCGATCGCCAATAGCAGTGCTTATTTCTAAACCTGTTTTGTAATGGTCAATGGCTTTCTTATATTCTCCTAAATTAAGATAGGCATTGCCCAAATTGCCATTCTTATTTGCTATTCCTGACCGATCGCCAATAGCAGTGCTTATTTCTAAACCTGTTTTGTAATGGTCAATGCCTTTCTGATATTCTCCTAAACTAAGATAGACATTGCCCAAATTGCCATTGTTACTTGCTATTCCTGACCGATCGCCAATAGCAGTGCTTACTTCTAAACTTGTTTTGTAATGGTCAATGGCTTTCTGATATTCTCCTAAACTAAGATAGACATTGCCCAAATTGCCATTGTTACTTGCTATTCCTGACCGATCGCCAATAGCAGTGCTTATTTCTAAACCTGTTTTGTAATGGTCAATGGCTTTCTGATATTCTCCCAAACGTCGATAGGCATTGCCCAAATTGCCACTGTTACTTGCTATTCCTGACCGATCGCCAATAGCAGTGCTTATTTCTAAACCTGTTTCGTAATGGTCAATGGCTTTCTGATATTCTCCTAAATATCGATAGGCATTGCCCAAATTGCCATTGTTACTTGCTATTCCTGACCGATCGCCAATAGCAGTGCTTATTTCTAAACCTGTTTTGAAATGGTCAATGGCTTTCTGATATTCTCCTAAACTAAGATAGGCATTGCCCAAATTGCCATTTAAACTTGCTATTCCTGACCGATCACCAATAGCAGTGCTTATTTCTAAACCTGTTTTGCAATGGTCAATGGCTTTCTGATATTCTCCTAAACATCGATAGGCATTTCCCAAATTGCCATTGTTACTTGCTATCCCTGACCGATCGCCAATAGCTGTGCTTATTTCTAAACCTGTTTTGAGATGGTCAATGGCTTTCTGATATTCTCCTAAACTAAGATAGGCATTGCCCAAATTGCCATTGTTACTTGCTATTCCTGACCGATTACCAATAGCAGTGCTTATCTCTAAACCTGTTTTGTAATGGGCAATGGCTTTCTGATATTCTCCTAAACATCGATAGGCATTGCCCAAATTGCAATTCTTACTTGCTATTCCTGACCGATCGCCAATAGCAGTGCTTATTTCTAAACCTGTTTTGTAATGGTCAATGGCTTTCTGATATTGTCCTAAACGTCGATAGGCATTGCCCAAATTGCCATTGTTACGTGCTATTCCTGACCGATTGCCAATAGCAGTGCTTATTTCTAAACCTGTTTCGTAATGGTCAATGGCTTTCTGATATTCTCCTAAACTAAGATAGGCATTGCCCAAATTGCCATTGTTACTTGCTATTCCTGACCGATCGCCAATAGCAGTGCTTATTTCTAAACCTGTTTTGTAATGGTCAATGGCTTTCTGATATTCTCCTGAACTAAGACAAGCATTGCCCAAATTGCCATTGTTACTTGCTGTTTCGTTATGGTCGTATTCTGCTATGTTCTTTTCAGAAGCCATTGGATAACCCTTTTCTTGATTTATCTGAAACAAAGTCGTTTAAGAACAGATTAGCTGGATAGATCGCGACATCAATCTGTTGGTCTAATTAAAGGGTTAATTGTATATGGACTTTTTATATACATGTCGCGATTTAGGAAGAGCGTATTTGCGTTGGGTTTCTGTTGGCCCAACAAAACCCATTGCCTAATTAGTTATTCCAGATTTTCATGGGAAGTAATTCACGTATGCCTAAAACTTAATACTTCATGGCCAAAAGTACTTGGGGTGTGGGTGTTAGAAGTCAAGAAAGGGGGCCCCAGGAAGTCGGGAATTCCGGAAAGTGTTAAATAATGAATTTTGCAAAAAATTGAGGTAGAAAAAAGTTTGAAAAAGTATTTTAACCCCCCCCCCCCCAATTATCTCAAACTAGTGTTTGAAAAATATTTTTGGCCGTTTTGTTTTCGGAAAAAACACGTCGACCTCCCCTCCCTCCCCCATCGCCAAGATTTTTCGGAATATGTTTGCTTTCCGGAAACATTTTTTTGCAGGCCCCCCCCCAATTTTTGAATTCACCTCCCCTCCCCCCTGCCAGATACCACTCGGTACGGCCCTGAGCTTGTCCCCCTATCCAAATCTTCAAAATACGAACAGACCCAAACAAACCCAACAAATCAATAACCCTACAGATCCAACAAACCCAATAGATGCAACAAATCCAACAAATCCAACAGATCCAACAAAACAACAGACCCAACAAAACCTAACAGCACAACAGATCCAACAAATCCAACAAACCCAAGAGATCCAACAAACCCAACAGATCCAACAAACCCAACAGATCCAACAAACCCAACAGATCCAACAAAACCTAACAGCACAACAGATCCAACAAACCCAACAGATCCAACAAACCCAACAGCACAACAGAACCAAAAAGTCAAAAAAAACCTAACAGCACAACAGATCCAACAAACCCAACAGATCCAACAAACTCAACAAATCCAACAGATCCCACAAATCCAACAAACCCAACAGATCCAACAGACCCAACAGAGCCAACAGATCCAACAAACCCAACAGATCCAACAAACCCAACAGCACAACAGATCCAAAAAGTCAACAAAACCTAACAGCACAACAGATCCAACAAACCCAATAGTTCCAACAAACTCAACAAATCCAACAGATCCCACAAATCCAACAAACCCAACGGCACAACAGATCCAACAAACCCAACAAAATAACAGACCCAACAAAACCTAACAGCACAACAGATCCAACAAACCCAACAAATCCAACAAACCCAACAGATCCATTAAACCCAACAGATCCAACAGCTCTAACAAACCCAACAGATCCAACAAACCCAACAGACCCAACAAACCCAACAGACCCAACAGATCGAACAGACCTGACAAACCCAAGAGATCCAAGAGACCCAACAGACCTAACAAACCCAACAGCACAACAGATCCAACAAACCCAAGAAAATAACAGACCCAACAAAACCTAACAACACAACAGATCCAACAAACCCAACAAATCCAACAAACCCACAGACCCAACAAACCCAACAGATTGAACAGACCCAACAAACCCAAGAGATCCAACAGACCCAACAGATCTAACAAACCCAACAGCACAACAGACCCAACAAAACCCAACAGCACAACAGATCCAACAAATCCAACAAAACCCAACAGCATAACAGACTCAACAGCACAACATACTCAACAGCACAACATACCCAACAGCACAACAGTCACCAAATCCAACAAACCCAACAGAGAGAACTGTGTGATTGAACTGTGTTCTCTCTTTCCCAATCTACAATTTCGGAGCACTGAGGCGAGTCGTGATTTTCATTATATAATCAATTACAGCTGCCCTTCAACGACAACTTTCCAGATAAATTTAATGTCTTTAATTCAAACCGCAAATGCAGTAAACATATATTGTTTTCGTTGAATTTTAGGGTATTGTAAGATAATAATTTTCATCTTCAATACCCTCCAACTAATAATATTCATTAGCATAATTTCAGTATTAAACTAGGGATCCAAGGATAGTGTTCAAATTGAAAAAGACACGGCTAGAGCTGTATAGGGTCGCTGATAACCTAGAAGAGTAAGAGCAGGCATAGGCTAGAGCAGACACGTTACTCAAAAATGTGGATTAGTACAACGTTTTTACGAGATAAACAATTCTTTATCACTCCCTTCGTAACCCGTTTATTAAATGTTGAATTGCAAGAGCTCTTATTTGGGCATGACGACTTCCTGTTTTGTAAAGCTGATGGCTTACACTACGAAATAAACAGTTAGCATAGGTATTTCATCTCATTATCTATTGTTTTTAATACGTTCGGCACATGAGTAGCGCGACGTTTGAAACAAACCTAACACTAGACTGCGAGCAATCCCTAATAAAATAGAGGGATTCCCGCTTTAACTAATTGTCAAGCGTGTTTGATTAAGCTCCGCCTACTTGTTTATATATCAAAACAGGGTAAAAAACATCTCTTGAAAGGCGCGGTCTCGAATGACTTAATTCGCTTAGGGTAAAACCATCAAACAACGTGTATTTAAATTTTTACCAGAGAAGTACCAGGCGGAAAATGAATTCTAATAATAAATATTAAAGCCCAGCAAAGTGCTTTTAAAAGAGTCATAAACCATTAAATTTAAAATTTTTTTAATAAAGATTTAGTAACGTTTCGTCTTAACTTAAGACATCTTCAGACTATATTAAATTACAAGCTGTAAGAGTAATTAAGCATAAATTAAAGCTATCATAGCAATATTAAATTACAAGAGAGTGTGAGGTACACAAAACGTAAGGATAAGAAAGGGTAATGAGGGGAAGTGACGAACAAAAATAAAAACATACAAATTGGACGACAATACATACAGACAAAACATGAAAAAGAGAGAGATCAGAATAGGTGAAGAGGAATTGAACTGCCTTGAACGTTGAGAGAGGGTTTCATTTTAGAGATAAGAAAGCTTTCATGAATAAGGAGTTCTTGGTCATCTGAACAGGAGGAGAGGATTGCAAAGTCGTCAATAGAAGCAGTGTGGCCTGTGGATGTAAGATGTGAGAAAATGCTGGACTGGGGAGGATTTTTACATAATTTGCCAGTGATAGGAGTGATACCCAGGTGTTCCGAAACTCGGGTGTGTAGATGGCGCGTGGTTTGACGAACATACGATGCGGAACAGCATCGACACGTAAAAGAGTACACTACACCCGACTTCAGAGCTTTGGGTATTTTGTCCTTAAAAGAGAAAAAGGTGGAAAGCCGTTTAGTTGATCGAAAGACAAATCTTATATCAAGATGTGGGAAAGCAGCACGACAAAGACGGTTGATTTGCGTGCGGATTTGCAAGGAGTGAGTGCCCGTAAAAGGGAGACAGAAATAAATTATTTTCTTAGGAACAGTATGAACAGGTAGGCCCAAGGTAGGCTTAGGTTGAAATACTTTGTTAAGAAAAGTTCTAACACATCGGTCAAACATATGGCAAGGGAAACCATTTAAGATAAACATTCTTCGTGCTGCTTCAAGTTGGTGATGGAAAGTCTCGTAGCTAGAACAAATGTAGCCCGCGTGCAGGCCCAAGGGAACTGATAGTGGGCCTGCAAGCAAGGCCCGGTAATTTGTACTTTCCGCGTTCGCCCACGAACGCGGCATTCTGATTGGCTGTTTGCTGTTGGATTCTATAATTAGATCACTGATTCATCACAAAGGCTCTCGATAAGCTTAAAATTCGAAAATAGATCACTTTTTTCGATTAAAAATGGAACAAGAACAGCCTGTTTATTGTTTGCTTGAAGAAAGAGATGTTTTTGCTGTTATGCCAATGGGGATTGCTTGTCCTGAAGTGTTGGAATAGCAACATTTAATACGACTGCCGGGGTAAACTATAGTATTATAAACCTTTACTTGAGTTTCATTAATTTTAAACAGACTTGATATTCCTGTTCTTGCACTGAAGAAAACAGCGCTTTTTGCGGTGAAGATTTAGAGGCAGTTGCATGTATAAAGCCTATTCGAAACACTTTGCGATTTGCAAGGCTTCGCTGAGAGAGCGAAACAGAAGACGGTAATTACAATTGCCGTTTGAAACGAAACGATCTGGACTCTGAACGCTCTCTTCTTTTGTAGAGTTCTTTACCAAATGAAATAACTGAAATAAATTTCGTACTTTCCGCCGCCAACAAGAACTGCACACACGATCTGATAAGTGAGACAATTTTATATTTATAACAACGGCGACAGCCAAGCACACATTTAAATGCTAATGTGGTCGCACGTCTTCCCTCACGTTTTGAAGTTTGAGACTGGCTTTCTGTTGAAATTCGTCCCAATTTGCCTGTTCCGATTTTAGTTGAAAATGAGCACTTGCAAATTTGGCAATTACTGACAGCGTTGCTTGCTTTTTTGGAGTTAAAACACAGCCATTTACACATTGTTTCTATTTTGAATATTAAAGCAGAGAAACCCCCGCAACATTTTAATGCGAGTTTGTTTGTTAATATTTGGGTTGATGCGCGAATGGGGCGTGTTGTGAAAAGGGGCGTTTTACAAAATACCGGGCCTTGCTTGCAGGCCCACTATTCTTCCCTTGGGCCTGCACGCGGGCTAGAACAAATGCTAAAGATGCGGTGTATTAAGCAAGATATTATGCTGCCTTTGTATGTAAGTGGAATGAAGCTATGGAAGTTGGTAAAAAGACCAGTAAACGTAGGTTTACGGTAAACAGAAGTAGAGAATTTTCCATTAGAGCGGAATATGTCAATGTTGAAAAATGGGAGCTTACCATCACGTTCAACCTCACTAGTGAAGCGAATGTTGGTGTGCTGGCGATTAAGATATGTGAGAAAGAGCTGTACATGCTCTGAACGACGGAAAAGTAGGAAGCAATCGTCAACATATCGTCTATAGAGAAGTGGTTTGAAAGACGAAGGACAGTTGTGAAGCCAATCCTTTTCGTGAAAGGACATGAATATGTTAGCAAACAAAGGTCCTAAAAGACTACCCATAGCCACGCCATCAACTTGATGATATAAACGACCATTGAACACGAAATGACAATTTTTGACAGAAAGACTTAAGAGTTTAGTAAAATCAGAGCGAGTGAGGCCATGAAACCTACAACAGTTAGAAAGCAAACGATTAGTAATTATCTCAATCGTTTCATCAACAGAAATGTTAGTAAAGAGTGAAGTAACATCAAAACTAGCCATTATAACATTACTCGTATCAAGATCAGAAGAAAGAAGTTCCTGGACGAAAGAGAAGGAATCCTTAATGACATAAGTGCTGGTCGAGATGGGAGTGAGAAGAGGAATAAAGAGTTTAGCAATATTATACGAATAATGATTAATGCAAGAAAGGATAGCCTAAGTGGGATATTACAGTGTGTTTTAGGTAGTCCATACAGGATGCCTAAGCGTGAACCTGTAGGAAACAGTTCATTGTAAGTTTTTTGATCAATTGATTCAGACGCTTTCAGATTTTTCAGCAGAGTCTTGACACGATTTTCGCGCTGTGGTGTTGCTTTGACAGGATCTTCATTCAAGAGTTCAAATTTCGTGTTATCAGACAGAATTTCTTCCATTTTCTTGTTGTAGTCATCTTTGTTTAGGATAACAACGCCGTTACCTTTATCAGGTCTCATCATCACGATGCTACTGTCTTTTCGTAAGTCATTTAGCATGTTGATCTCTTCTTTCGAGTATAAGAAATCCGGCCGATTATAGCTCTGGAAACCAGAATGAGCTATGTCTTTCATTCGAGTCTTAATAAATGCCGGGTAAAATCCAGAATGTTCGTAAACCGGTTCGCGTTTAAGTTGAGAAAACAGTCTTTCAAATGGCGCAAAGAAACCGCACAAATTAAGTTTAGCAGGCGGAATGGCAAAGTTCAAACCTTTCGAAAGAATCTCCTTCTGTTTATCTGTGATGAGTCGGTTTGAGAAATTGAAAACCACTGCATTCGGATTTATTGTGTTCGAGTGTTTTTGCTCAGCGTTTAGGCGAAATAACTTTCGATCTTGGACACGTTGATGCTGGTTCAATTTCGGCTTTGAATTTTCACGATCGGATATGTTCTTTAGGTGAATAAAATCAAGCGTAGAAACAAGTGAAGCCAGGTTTGCGTGTGTTGTTGTTACTTGCGCTGATAATATTCGTATTCTTGCGTGTTTGGCGTTGATTTCATCTTGTAACAGTTTGTTCTGACATTGTCTGTAGCCGCTGGAGTTCCGCAAACGGCGATTCGCAACTTTCTTGTCCTTTCTTATCCTTACGTTTTGTGTACCTCATACTTTCTTGTAATTTAATATTGCTATGATAGCTTTAATTTATGCTTAATTACTCTTACAGCTTGTAATTTAATATAGTCTGAAGATGTCTTAAGTTAAGACGAAACGTTACTAAATCTTTATTAAAAAATTTTAAATTTAATGGTTTATGGCTCTTTTAAAAGCACTTTGCTGGGCTTTAATATGTATTTAAATTCTCAAAAAAGTACCAACATACAGCTATTAAGCTGAATTACATGGTATAAGATTTACAAGGAGTGTTTCTAATTTATATAAACTAAACCTCTATGCCTCTATGTTTACAAAGCTTAAAATTTAAACTTGAAAATTGGAAACATGCAAATATATACGAATGCTAAAACTATGAACTATGAATTAAAACGTTTAGAACTTGCGATTATGAATGTGTTCATGTATCTATTAGTCTTAATTATTGGAAAGTCAAACGTTCTCTTTGTCCTGAGGGAATGTGCAGTATTTGAGTTCAAATCCACATCTAAATGGAAGCCTGTGACCACCAATGATTTTTAACAAAAACCATAGAAATAGCATATTAGAGCAACGCCATTCCATGAATATTTTTAAACAATAAGTGATGTTTGTGAGTCTTTGCTAATGGTTTTTTAACAAAAGCCACAGAAATAGCATATTAGAGCAACGCGATCCATGAATATTTTTAAACAATAAGTGATGACTTATCAGTTGCCTTGCAGCTATATAAATGTTTTAGTGTCATTCGCGATTTCAATGCGAATAGAACTATAATCTCTGTTTAACGCAAAATGGCTGATTTGACTGCGTACGAAGAAGTATTTCATTATCTTCGCGACAACGAGTCCCCAATTCTTACAACAAAGACCAGAAGAGGAACACCGTTATTGGTTTTTTTTTAGTATATAAAAGTGTTTAAAAAACGGGGGTCCATATCCGCTAAAGGGGGTCCATATCTACTAGGAGATTTGGACCGGGGGGTCCATATCTACTAGGAGATTTGGACCGGGGGGTCCAAATCTACTGGGGGGTCCAAATCCGCTGTGACACCGGCAATAGTGCCGCGAAGTTTGTGATTTGGATCTTCAATGATTTCTTTAATCAAGTTATCACACGCAGCCTGACGTCTCTCTTCAAGCTTTCCAAGATTAGACAGTGAAATTGCTTCGTTATAAGGCTTCCTACACCTGGGAAATATAATTGTCATAGCATGAAGTTGTATCCGTTCAATGTCTTTACTCAGGTAATTTGGGATTCCGTAATGAAGAACGGGCGATGCATATTTATTCTACTATCGGTTGGATGCAAGTACAATAAAAACGAATCATCTCAGCAGCGGGTACATTCGCACGTTTTAACTGACGTAAAAAATACAATCTTTTAGAGGCTTTCTTAATTAATGATACATTGATACTGTCATTCTGAGGTAATTGTTTTCTGACATAGCCAATTTTATATTTATCACAAAGCTATACACACACACACACCTATAAAAGAGTACAAAGCTTCTCGAAGGGTCTTTGCTCAAAACGTCGAGAGGCTTTCAGGCATTCTATTTAATGTCCACCAACCCCCTATTGATGATTTTTCTGAAGGGTGACTCCAAAGGAGTTTCTGATGTGAGGGGAAATTTCTGTTGGGTGTTTTGTGTTGACACTTTGATATTTTTTCTTAAAAGGGTTAAAATTTTACTGACTTCATCCATAGGGGCGCTGTGGATTTTAAATGGAATGGCCCTTTGTATATAGGCATGCATGTTTATACTCATTAACCATTTGTGTCGGCACTTAACCGATCAGCTGGCAATAGCATTTTACTCTGGGTACTACCAGAAAGTGGGTTAAAAATACAACTACTAACTGGGGGCACTAACCATGTCCATTTCAAGGTGGCATCTCACTTATTGTCTTTTTGCGTACTTATTTTAGGAGGAAGTTTCTTTATCGCCACAAGAGCATGGGCCATTGGCCTATTTGGCAGGCTATGTTATAAGGTCTTTGTACCAAAAAAGCAAGAATTGTTCTCGGTGGCAGTCCCAAAGAAACAAAGAAATTCAAGCATTAATGTATTCAATGCGAACTGCAACAGAGGACAATGAGTATATATTATCTTTATCAAGAGGTGGCCTGTGGTCACCTCATTCATGGCTTGTTAGTATTATGGAAGTTAGTGAATTAGTTTTTAGGAAGCACACAAATAAAGACAAGGTCACTCGTCTACCAGTAGACAAAATAGTGAATGAAGTTTTGGCTTCTTCCCTTGTGAAAAGGTTGTGGTGCAATATTATTGCAAATTGTGATGTGGAAATCACTACAGAATGCCAGTCCCTGTGTTTAGAAAATATTGTAAAGTTGTACGTTACTATTAGGTGTTTCTCATTTGCCAAAGATATTGTAAACAAATATAAATTAAGTGAAGGTGTTAAGCGAAAGAAAGCTTTACGGAAAGACTTGAAGAAAGCTAGTAGTGAACTGGAATAATGTCATTTACCAAGGAATGAAATTACTGTATTCAAGCATATTAACTATGATTCAAGGTGGCTTTAAAATACTATTGCAATTGATCAAACCTCCAGCTAAATATATTCAATAGTGATAAATGCAATTTCTAGGGCAATAAAAAAGGCATTTTTAACCAGTCAGAAAGTTTACACCCATATTCTAAAAGCTCACTTGCACTCAATGACTGGAAGTTCAATATGAGCTTCTCTCGAGTGTCAAAGGGCTAGTGTCGTACCACTCACCCTCCAGCTATTCAAAGTGAGTATTTAGAATCCGGGTGTTAAACTTTAAGAGCTTGTAACTATTATTAACAGTTGCACAAGATTTTATATTGAAATTATTCATTATGTCAAGCCATGTATATTAATGGTCAAGCAAGCAATAGAATGCTACTTCCTCAAGCGACTGTTACTTAGTAGATGCAATTCCCGTCTTGCATCAACTTTTTGTCTTGAAATATTTGGTGAGAAAAGGTTTGAGCATAACTTGAGTCACTGTTAATAAAATATTTATTGCAACTGAATGCTAAATGTAAATAGTTTGCAAAAAGGTGTTAATTGTAAATGTTTGTATAGTAATTTACTAGTATTAAATTTCAGTTTAATTAATAATAAGCCAACATTTGAAAGAGTTGCTTCCATAACACTTAAGTACTGATTGGACAGGAAAAAGCATTTAACACTTCTTGTGAAGTGCTGCATCACAGTTTACTATAATCGGCTAAGAATTAGAAACAATACCCCAAGTCCAAGATGCTACCTAATTCACCAACAAAAATTTGCTGCTTATCCGGCCAAGTCATAATGAAGCATTTGTAGCACTTAATAAGAGTGGTAATTGCTCATTGTCCACTCCTAATAGACAACTTGCATGTTAGACAAATTTTTGATCTAGCCAATCTAGGCACAAAAAAAGTAAATTACCGTTAAGAACTTATTAAAATTAGTACACTTGCAAAATTTGGTTGCGAAATGTTGTAAAGCTTGGAAAATATAGCTTTGCAAAGTTTGCATATTTTCAATATATTTGTATTACGTGCGGAAATTGTTACCATTTTTGAGCCGAAAATGGTAACAATTTCCGCTCGTAATACAAATATACTGAAAATTTGCAAACTTTGCAAGGCTATATTTTCTAAGCTTTACAACATTTCGCAACCAAATTTTGCACTTTTACTAATTTCAGTATGTTCTTTTTAGCTGTGGTGTTTGATTCCCTTTTCTCTGCTTTGATTAAAATTTAGTCTAACATGCAAGTTGTCCATTTGGAATTCTGAACATAGTAACTGATAAGTAAGGTCCAATATAAATGGTATGACCACCACTAAATGTCTAATTGCTGCAAATATATCATGCAGTGCCAAAATTCTCAATAAACTAACAAGTAAAAACAGCATGGAATTCCTCTCTACGTTAAACATTTGGGTACTGCACTGTGTACAGTTACTACCACCTTCATAATTAGGACAGTGGCATAGCCAGCTTGAGGATTTGGTCCCATTATGCAAATTTCAACTCATTCTTGATTGTGTTGATAGTTTATAAGCATGGCAATATTTGCATAGCGGGACTGAATCATTGCGCTGGCTATACCACTGATAAGGAACACCCCTTAATCAGTTTGTAAAGGATATTTCTCGCAATATTACTGCATGTGCACTTATTGAACTTACAACATTTTCAAGACAACTATTTCTTGGTTGGTTTTTTGTTATTTTTTTTGGTAACGCCTCTTCACTACTTTGGTGATGCAAGCATTTTCCGTTGTTGCTCCCAGAAAACTCTCATATGTGGGGTGATCTCATCACCACTATCAGCAAGTACTGCCAGACAGAATATCTTTTTCCACAGTCTCATCTATAGGGACGCTGTTCTTTGCAATCTATTTTTCCAACTGTGAGATACGACCCTCAAGCTCCTTGCAGACAACTCTCTGTCTTTGCACTGTAGCAACCAACCGTTCCTTACTTGATTTGGACAGAGGTGCTTTATCCTTTAGGGGTTGAGGTGCTTGTACATCGTGTTTCTCTTTCTGCTTGCTGACAGACTTTTCTTGCTTGATACAACTGGAGCAGGAAATGTTACCACAAAGCAATTCACAATCTTGTGATCTCAAAAAGATACAGGCTTGAAAGGGAGGACCATCTTCTTCATAATTCTCAGGCTTTATGGGAATGGTATGCCTAATTATACTGCTGGAACTACAGCTAGGACTGGGGTCTTCACATTTTGAATATGTGAGTTCATTCTTGTTGAGGCCTTCACAAATCTTGTAACTCTCTAGCTTAGAAATAATGGTTGAGATGCTGGTGTGCTTTACCGATCGCTTCAATTCAGTGTAGATCACATGATCGTCAGGTAGAAACCAGTTATACACAGCAACAGAAAAATCAAGACTAGAGGCAACAGAGCAAGTTAGCTTGGGCAAGGAAAATGTTGGATTCCAGAACTCAAAAATGACATTGTCCTCATTTTCGGTTTTCAGCCATCCCTTCATCTTCAAACCCGGAATTCGTTTCTTGAAACTCTCCAAATTATGATATACAACACGTTTATCCAGTTGATGTCGAACAAGTTCTCGTCGTGTTGTTGTTGCAGAAGTAGGAGTACTCTTCACTGGCAAATTTAAAGATGGCACTGCTCCTGGCACCAGTCTCTTACGAGTAGAGGCTAAAAAGTAAATGACAGCTTTCAAGACAAAACAGAGACTTTGTAACATTTGTCAGTTGACTGATACCTTGTACTCAGAGAATATTATTGTGCACAAGAAAATAATACGCACTAAGCACAGTGCCACAGTGCATCCTGGTGTATCCAACATTGCTATTTTAACCCATCTAAGGGCGATGATTTTACTTACACATGTACAATACAGTAAATGTACATCTACCAATCTACAATACAGTAAACTGCCAAACTCTCTAACCCATGAAAACACAATGTGCCCAGATGCCCCATACTTTGTTAATTTGCAGTTTATACAGTCCAAAGTCAGATAATTTTAATTGTCAAAAGGATTAAGTGATTAAGTCTGGTGCCTTTACCATCTGGTGCATAACTTGTTTATGTAAGTATTGCATGGTGGTATGAAGGCTGACTAGATACTGTAATATAAATGAAGATTTTTCTGTATTACTATGATCATGTATTATCGTAGTATATTCAATTATTGTTGCATGGAATATATGTTGGTAAATGATACCTAAGTTCAAAAGATTCCGTCTTTAAATATTTAGGATATTGATTTATAATAAAAGTGTTTTAAATGCCTATATAAACCATTTTGTATTTATGCTATGCCTTTATATTTGAAACTATTAGTATAGGTAATCACACGGGAAGGAGTGCAATTAATGATTAACACTACGAGTGGTATTTGAAAAATGTGCCAAAATTGCACGAGCCGCCGAGGCGAGTGCAATTTGGCACATTTTTCAAATATCACGAGTAGTGTTAATCATTAATTGCACGACTTGCCCGTGTGATTATTTATTTATTATATGCATGACAAAATCGCTTTCTTTATATTTCAACTGCATTTTGTCAAGAGTTTTTAATTCTTTTGTAAGCAATTTGGTATAAACAAACTTAGGAAATGATTATAAACTCACAAAGGCACATAACTTAATCTAGAACACAAGATTCAAACTCAAACAACATATTTTAGACTAAGAAAATATTTATAAATTGTATTTCAAACTTACATAGTCCCGTTTCGCTGCATCCCGCCAAGATTATTTCTTAAGACTGTTTCCAGGTATTTTCCACAGGCTCTTTTTGCCATACAATGTTTCTTAAACTTATTCTTGTGCCAAAATTCAGTTAAATTCGTCCACATTTGTTAGAAATACTTATCTAAATTCCGCCGCCATATTGGATTTTGTTGTTTTGATTTCCCGCTCCCCCCAGCCATCACGAAAATCATTAATTGCACTCCTGGAGAGTGCAATTAATGAAATAATTGCACTCCTCTTAACCAATCAGATTGCAGTAATTTTGTCATGTATATAATAATCTCTATTAAACTATGACAGTCTATGGGTGGTATTTCAACGAAATATCTAAAGTTTGACATGCAAGTTTATTCGCTTTACAATGTAATTTAATACGGCTGACTAAAGTTCAACTCCACAAGCGGCAAGCCTCGTTGTGCTTGAGAGACGTACAGCCGGATATTATGTAGATTCCACGATAGTTGGTATAGTTCATGCATAAAGTGCTTATTATTCTCTACACTCTGTAATTAATATACTCGCACTATTTGAAAATAACGCTTTGATCAGTGGCAGTGCTACAAATCCTATAACCCCTACAATTTATCATTTGGTATTTACAGATCGAGTTTATATTTTACACAAAGGAATTCATTGTTCTCAGGCGTCGATCTGTTCATTCACAATTGGGTTTTCGCCGCTTTCTCGCACAGTTTTACTCATTGTTTACGGGGGCAAAATAAGAATTCACTTACGACAATCAATTTCTTCAGTCTTGAAATGTTTCTCGCAAACATACAGCTCGCCTGTGTCGATCTGGCGACGTAAACTCTTGTCCACAACTCGATCCTTTGTGATTACGTTCAGCCAAGCCTCTCGAGTTCTCGTTGATAACTCGTCTTTGCCAGACGGAATTCTAAAGATTCCGAGCCCAACATGCTTTCTGCTGGTTCCGCAACCAAATATTGAGCAATCCACCACTTCAGCGATCAACAGCACGTGTAGTTTTGAAGGTTGTCACGTGGTGCAAAATGTAAACATTGCGGACATTCGCACTGTTGTGTAATAGGAGTTAATGTATCGTTCGTGATTTGAATTGCAAATTTATATTGTAATTATTGTATATTTCGGTGTTGTCTTACTATAAATATAAAGAAAAATGTCTAAAGATTCTATATCAGATACGTTTTCGTCTATGAATGTTGTTGGCCTCAAAAAATATTTGCAAGAACGTGGCGTAACAGTCCATGGCTACCTGAAGCCCGCTTTGGTAGTTATTGCTTCTGCTGTCGAGAAAATGATGCTACCAAAAGATCCCAATTTTGAATGTGACGACGCAGAGAAAATTTAAAGAAACGATTAATAATTCATGATGTTGCGGTATCGGATCCGTTCACTTTGCCTACGCAGAATAATTTTATAGACTCGCCGCCATTTGGACTTTACGACATTTTTAATCATTTGATCTACCATTCGACTGATTACGACAAACAAGGACTTGCATCTTACAAATCATACGACGATTATCGCTTGTTTGACGATGGCTATGTGGAATCTTTGTCTACTACATATTTAAAGGAATGCGGATTGCACGTTTATGTTGGAAAAGTAAACCCGACAATGCGAATGAAAACAGACGAGGGTAAGGAACAATACGATTTGTGGTTTATATTGGAAGGAAAGGGGCCAAACCGAGGAAGTGTTATCGAGGCATTTTGTAAGTGCAAAGGGGGACGAGATGGCGGATGGAAGCATATCGCAGCAGCGATGTACTCTCTTGAGTTTCTTTTAAACACTGAGGGGAAAGACAGTGTGACAAGTGGAGTGTGTTTGTGGAAAAGAAGGCAACGAGCAAGCATTAAACCTTGTGAGGTAAAGGATGTAAACATTTCCAAATGTGAATACGGTGATCCAAGTAAAAAGAGAAAACATGAATATGTGTGGCTACAGAACATCGACCATGATCCAAGAGAGGAAAGATTTCGGAAGAAAAGTCGCATGATGATATGGTGAAGTTTACCAGTGCAATGAAAAACAAGTTACCAGCTATGAACCTGCCATTTTCCCATTACTTCGTAAACTTTACCTTCCAGATGATGTACCAAAAGCAACTAGTCTAGCTGAGATGCTGAAAAGCTTAGAAAAGAGTTCTTGTATTATGGAGAATAAAATTGAACAGTTCATTCAAGATAGCAATTCTTCTGTGCCGACTGCAGAGGAATTTTTAAATTACCTGTCTTTCAGTGATTCAGAAATCATTGATGTTGAGCATGCAACTGTTGATCAGTGGGAAAGTGAAGATTGGTTTCTGCACAAGGTTGGCTTTATATCAGCTTCCAAGTGCAAAACTGTTTTCACACGACAGACGACTCTTAATAAAGGGAACAGTCAAGAAACCACTGCTTTGGCCAAATCAATTGTTTCAAAGCCATCTTACAACATGTCAAGTAAAAAAACACATGAACCTGATAATCCTAGGGACTGGGGGTTGGTAAAGGAAGAAGCTAGAAAATATTACATGTATTTTGCAGGAAGACAACATCACAAGATCCACCTTGAACGCAAGGGTTTTCAAATATCCAAAAAGAAGCCTTTTTTGGGAGCTAGTGTTGATAACATCAGAAGCTGCAAATGCTCAACTGACTGTGGAATTACTGTTGTAGAGTACAAATGCCCCTGGGTACACAGGAACAGTGATCCAAAAGAAGCATTTTTATCAAAAGAAATTGGTGGAATTTTTACTGGAGATTCATACCATCTACAGAATAAGTCAAAATACTATTATCAAGTACAGATGCAACTTTTTGTTGTTTGTGCCAAGTTTTGTGACTTTGTTGTCTGGACAACGAAAGGCATTCATATCATATCCATTCCATTTGAATCATCATTCATGAGTTCAGTTTGCATTAATCTTGAGAAGTTCTGGGTGACTCAAGTTGTTCCATTATTATTGGCAAATCAACTGGATGTGCCATGTACAGGTAATGTGCATTCTAGTATGATTTAATAGATTCACCATACAAATAAGCAGTAAATAGCAAACATTGGCATAATTCACATTTAAATTATAAAATTAATGTTTTTTTCTTAAAAGATAATATCAAGAACATTTCATGTGATGAAACTGCAAGCAATGACATGGCAACAAGCAACGACATGGGAGCAACTAGTAAACGGACAGATGTGAATGAAATGGATATGTCACCAACCATCAAAACACATTCAGAAGGTAGCTACTGCATGCACAATATTATAAGTACAGTATGGTAAAGGGGCCCATATATAGTACTCCACAAATTTATTTACAAATTTTTATCTCTTCTAGAAAAACCAATTCACATAGATATTGACTCACATACATCCAAACAAGAGTCGGCAACTAGCTTTTTGGTCTATGGAGTAGACTTACACATGGACGATATAAGTACACTTGAGCAGAAGGTGATGATGAATGACAGCATAGTAAAAGTGTTGTTAGAGTAAGTTTTAACTGCAAGTTTTTAAATTATATATATATATATATACAATTGTAGTCATCCAGGGGTCCCCATCAGTGCTGTCAATCAATGGATTAATCCATGAAGCATTTTAACTCATTTTAGGGAGCTAAATTGCCAATTTCCAGTTATTGAGCCCCTCTTTTATTCTATATTGTGTGGTGGACAAGATGGATTCAATACAACTTCAAATAGGTATATTTAAAGTAGAGAAGTTACTCATATATTCTACTGTAAATGTGTGAATAAACTATTCTGTTGCTTATAACTATTTATGTGGCAATGGCTGTTTTCTTTGCAGAATTGAAAGATATAATGCAGCAGAAAAAGTATTTAAAGCAGACCACTTCTTGAAAGATTATGTTATTATACCAATTATAAGGAAGTAAATGAGTATTCATTAATTTATGCAGTACATTTCCTGTAATGTATTGTTTGAAATTGTAACATATTTTTATGTGTATTTATGTAGTTATCACTGGTCCTTAGCAGTTATATCTCCATGGTATGATAATTCAGTTAATAGCATAGTCAATAGTTTATCTGATCCCCGAGTTGTTGCATCATTAATCATTGCCAATTTCAACTGCATTATTAGTCTTTAGTTTAGACTTTATAATTTAGTCTTTACTCTGTAGTTTAGACTTGTCAAATATCATGCATATGTATCATTTGCATATATGTTAAATATTGGTTTAGATAATATTAGATACAAAATAATTTGCAGGTACTTTTTGTGGTTCGATTCACTCACCTGGGATGTCTCTCTGAAAGAAGTGGAAATCAGCAAAATTTCTCGGCAAGTTTGTTTTCAATTGTTACAGTATTAATAAAAATTGAAAGTACTGTATGTATATTGGCTCACTTTTCATACATTCATTTCCCTATAGGCATGTAAATCTTTGAAAGTATATATTGTGTAAAAAATTTGACAATTAATTATAATATAGTTTACCTAGCAGTTAAAAATTCTAATGTTTCTGCTCAAATAAATTTAGCCAAACCCATCAATATTAATAGCATTTTACAATTTGTAGATACATTAACCATCTATGCAAAGAGAAGAACATTGAGAACAAATATACCAATTTGAAAAGTGTAGCACTAAAGGTAATTATCAATTTAACTCATGATCAATCACACTGGTTTTGAATATACTAGCTTTAAAGCCATAGTGTAAGTATACACACATCAAGGCTGGTTGTTCAAACTTCAAAGCTGGGTTAGCTTAACCCTAGATTAACCTAAAATTCAAAGCAAATTTCCTGACAGCTTATCCATAAATTTGGAAATATTTCGTGAGAGATCTTGTCTGGATCAATAGGAGCTATTTACTTTACTGAAGTTTTGAAATAAACAGACGTGCTGAATTGCATAAACTAAAATAGCAGGTTAAATTTTAACCATGGTTAGCGTTTAAACCCACCTTTGAACAACTGGCCCCTGTACATTACTAATTGTTTTCTGTAGGTACCACAACAGCTTCTGGACAGTAACAGTTGTGGTTTTTATATTGTCTTATTTTTGGAGCATTTCTTGAAGGTATTAAAAACAAATAATAATTATTTACTATATACAGGCATTAGTATCCATTTGCCAATGTTCTCATGGTCCCACCATGGGGATAAAGTTGTACAAAAATAATTTAAACAAATGCTAACTACTCATCAATTACAATTATAGTAAAAACCATAATCTATTTTAATACAGGGATTGGAAATATATGAAAACAGTCCAGATGAATATGTACAAAAACTGCATAAATGGTTTACAGCTGAACAAGCCGAAGAAGGAAGAGCAAAAGCAAAAAAATATTGGGCTACTATGTATCATTTGAAAGTAACTTTTCGCTCTAAGCGCTAGAGCACTGGCACTGAATGCATGCATGGGTTAAACTGAGGGCATATACATAGTTGCATTTTTCACAACTGGTACTGGTTAGGTCTAATAATGCACCTATCAATGTTAAGCCCCAGAGGGGGGGGGGGG